GGTCAACCTGGCCGCCGACATGGCACACAGAGCTGCAAAGAAGAAAGACATCCGTAGAGGAGTAGCAATATATCCAGCGGGCGGGCGAAGTGGTGAGGGTGTCGGCAATATATCCAGCAGAGCTATAGTGTGAGATTTATGGCTACGATGATTCAGACTAAATTTTCTTCTCATATTATTTTTTACTTGGGCACGTTCAGTTTTCTGGTTAATTCACTACCCCTAAATGCTCCGGCAAATTATCATAAGCAGAAAACATGTACTTCCTCCGTTCCTAAATGCAAGTCTTTTTAAAGATTCCAATATGGACTATATACAGAGCAAAATGAGTGAATCTACACTCTAAAATACATCTATATAAATCCGTATGTAGTTCATATTGACATCTCTAAAAAGACATATTTAGGGACAGGGGGAGTATATCTGTAAGCAAGTTGTAAAAGAAAAAAAAACATAGTCATATCATTTCAAAGAATGTTACATGCCAATAGGTTATAATTTTGCTATTGTCATCAAATGCATATCATCAATGTCAGTACAGTCAAATATAATGGCATGTCAACCCGGAATATACAAGGTCAATCATATAGATGCAACAGTGCAAGAAGAGTTACTAATCATTGCATTCTAGTGGTTGCATTGAGCAGCAATACTCATTATGTACAAACAATACAACATAGGAAGAGTGAGATGATATAACTAATAAAGTTCAAAGAATGTACTGCTGACAAAGATCCTTTACTTGATAAAGGCAGTAGTCACTTGAGAAGTAGTCCTTCCCGATAAAGATGATCTGCGAATGATCCATCTGCATGTACATATTTTTAACACGCGCCGATCTGCAAATCTATGTGAGTAAGCTTGTGCCAATTTATTTTGTAGGAGTTGTGGGCAGCCCAAGTGCCTGGGAGAGCGCTGCCACTGTTGTACCACTTTCCGGCTTGCCGGCGTGGTGTAGAAGGCTGAAGGATGTATGGCTGCACTGAATCAGGAGGAAGTTTCAGTGTCTTGTGCATTTCGTACCAGTTTTCAGATCCACGTCGGGGCCTTGTTGGGGTTTTGCACTCACATATTATGAGTCCAACATCAGCTCACATCAGAGAAAATTCAGTTGAGCATGATCATTAATTTCTTTTTACATTGTTAAGTAGTACGATCATTACTTAGTCATAGTGTTTCATTACAAAGACTTCCAGATGTTGTCGCTTGCCAAAAGGAAGATATCGTGTCTTTACCACAATAGAATCTGAATAATTTATTCCAGTTCAGCATAGGATTTTCTGTCATGTTATTTGTGAAACACAACCTAATAAGAAGTAAAAGCATAGGACTCTGTCATGTTATTTGTGAAACACAAAGGAATATGTTCCAAACCTAAAAGTTGGATGGGCCGGAGTTCCTTTGCTGAATCTAGTGTAGGCGTAGTGATGTGGTGTCACGCTGCTGCGTCCAGGCCATGGTGTCCGCGTGAGGAGTGTGGCGGCCATCACGGCAGCATTGGGTCAGTAAAGTCCTGGAATAGAGTGTGACACCGCGTTTCAGGCAATGGGTCTATGTGAGGGATGATGAAGTAACAATACAAATACTAATCGACATATAGTACATCTATTTTCACTAATGTGATGGCACAACCCAGAGCCTACATGTGTCTCAATTCTGAAAATTGTGAAGTGTGTAATCAGAACACTATTTCAGTTTGGTAGGGCGATCCAAACAGTGTACCCCCATCCATCCATTGTTAAATGATTGTCTGCTCATGAAGACCTGAGCATCGAGAAAGAAGACTAATTGGAGACATGGAGCTGATCTTATACTTGAATAGTGAGTGCCTGACTATCATGGCTATCTCTATTTACGGATGTTTAAAGGGATTGGATACATCAGAGCGTCTTGAAGCAAACACAAGAGAGTGTCATACTCATAAATTTTCAAGAATGCGGGATCGATAAAATTGGTGTGCCATGTTATTTCTAGGGAATAAATCCCTGAGCTTTTGGGACAAAAAATCAGTTTAAAAAGGGGTGATGCCAGCAAGCTTATGTGACCTTCTCGGTCTAGATTCTGTGCTCAAACCTGCTGATGCACTTAGATGTTAGAAAGAGAGATTGGATGCAGAGGGCGTGATGGGTCGTACCGCGGCGACGCCTTGCTGCAAGTCTGGATTTAATAGGCGTATTCATGAAGATGCAGCGTGTAGGGTGGCCGCTGACGCATACACATACGCGCGGATGCTCCACGCTGCGGCTGCGCAGCCGGGAGCCGCATCGCCGTGGGCGGAGGGGTGGGCCATGCACGCACTCGCCGGCGTGGACTGCTGCCTTGTCCGGTTGGACGCCCAGCTCAGCCTGGTCGAGCTCCTCGTTCCAGCGCTGGACGCCGGACGTCGTCCTGGCCGTCGTCGGTCCGGCGGACATGGCGTGGTGGGTTGGCGTCGGGGATAGCCGGAGAGAAGAGTTGTGGCCTTCATCTGCAGCCGTATGCTGGCGGCGGCGGCGATCTAATAACCCTGGATCCAGCCCTAGGGTACGATGGACATGGAATAGGGAGGAGCGGTATGTGGTCTTTACAATCGCTGGGATAGGAGCTGATTACGCTTTCATGGAACACGTATTAGGCGGACGAATCTTTGGCAGAGTATACGTCGGGCGGACTGTAATTGCTAATTGCTAACCTCATATTAATCTAGGCTGTTAGATCTAATTTGGTGGGATAATCAGACGGTAATAATCAACCGGTGTACACTTAACGGGGTGTCTCTAAAAAAAAATGTTTGCTTGTTTAATAGTAGTAGAGATGCATGGCTAGGCTACCTCCGGTCAACCGCCTTAAGCATCCCCAAACTACTCCCTCCGTTCCAAATTACTGGACGAGTAATTTGAAACGGAGGGAGTAGAATAGAAAATAAACAGAGTTTGATTACAACAGGGACGAGACTCTGACTACTCTGCCTTTTCTTTTCTACGGGTACTGACTGCTCTGCCTTGATCATTTGTATGGAGAGGAGAGGAGAGGAGCATCGAGTCTGATGGTCTAGAAAACCAGGGCATACGTACCAAATGTTTGAAGGATTGCAAGTAGCAAAAAAAGGAGCATCGGAGAGTAGTTACGTAGGTCCGATTGTTCCAGTAAAACTAACCAAGAGCTACCAACATGCAAGGGAGTCCCAAGATGCCCTTTAAATTCATTGAGTTTTAAGTTTGTCCTAATTTCTAAGTCAATCTTCATTGTATTTTAAGGCTTTTTCTACAACACATCTAGTGGTGACATAATTAAGTCATATCTAAAATGACATCATCTGTTTGTTGGTCGGGACATTTTGTGGGTTGGGTTGTTATGTGAGTTATTGCTTTGCTAAAAAATTATAGGATGTTCAAATTTTTTCTATGTATTTGTTGCATTGTGATATACACATAAGTGACAAAAAAAAACCAGAAAAAAAATCCCATTAGCAACAGAGAAAGATAACAAGTTGACTTGGTGGGAGTTGTGGAAGCATAGAAATGCCATTGTCTTTGAGGGCGCGCAGCCTTCGGTCGAGCAGTTGCTGAGAAAGTTGTGTTCTGAAGGTTCCACTTGGTCCTCCGTTGGGTTATTGAAAGGAAATGTAATGCCCTTCTTTGCTAGGGTAGAGAGGTCGGTGAATGATGAGGATTAGCATGTAAAACAGCCCTGCAAACTATGATGGAGGCATTCTTGGCCTTTCTTCTTTAATATATGATATGCACACTCATGCATATTCAAGAAAAAAAAGATAACAAATTGGGGTAGCTCAGAGTTGAAACCCATAAAATATCAAAACCAAGCCATGGTTCTGTTATGTGGATAGCTAATTTTCACTCACCAGAGTCCATGGTTAAATCTTCGATGATATTCCAATCTTATATCAAGAAAAAAAAAAGAAAAAACTCATGGGCACTAGCACCCATGGTTTATTGATATAGGAGAAAGCATCCCTTGTGAGAAACCAGAAATTCGTCCCCGACGTGGCTCGAACCCTAGTTGCTGGAGACGCCACTGCGCTCCCTTGCCACTAGGCTACAGCCTAGTTCTCTTATATTCCAATCTTATATCTCTCTTTACATATTGGGGTAGCTAATTTTCAAAGGAGGTGCCCGTCGGAACATCAGCCTCTCAGTGTCCCCTTGTGGGCCCTATCGGTCACTCTGACGTGACGCCTACATCTAGGCATATGTATAAGCGCTCATATATGTGCCGGGTATGAGGAGTGTCGGTCACTCCGGGCGTACGGGCCGGCTATGAGGACCCGGTTGGCGGCCGAAAAAACACCCGGGCACTAACCGGCAGCCTGACCGGGCGTTTGGGACGGGTATGGTGTGTCCGGATATTGATGCCCTTACTATCTGGTTTCGCTGCAAATAATCCTACACATGGGCTAACGACGGCCATTTTACTGCATGCCTTAACACTAATTAACCTCTTCCCCTTAATTTTCAGGGGATGGAGCCCTTCCTCTCCGGAGAGAGCCCCAATCAAATTCTTCCACATGTGTCAGCCCGTAAACCCTGTAAAAATTTGCCCACGAGTGTAGCATCGCCGTTCCGCTGCAATCAAATACTAGGAAAGCAATCGAAAATTCATACTCACGGAGCTTCACGGGGCTTTTACAGACCCCTTCCATAACTAATCTTTATCTTTCCTAATTTTCAGGGGGTGTGGGCCCCCCATGCTGATTTCTTTCAATTAAAGTAGCCCAACTAAGGAGCCCCGTAAACCCCGTAATCATAAGGTCCGTGCGTGTAGCATTGCTCGAAAGCAATCATCCCTAAAAAGAAGGAAAGCAGCCACATCCCAGCAAAAAAAAGAAAAAAACCACAGTTTTCATCAGACCTGACTTTAGCTGTCGATGGAACACATCGCACAGTGGGCGGCCGATGTCCCATCCGCACCGTATTCCATGGCAAAGGAAAGTGCGTAACGATCACGCAGCGAGCCCGTACTATTCCCCACCGTCTCCTCCACCGGGCTCACTGCCATGGGCCATGGCTACCGCGCGCGCAGCTCACGCGTTAACAGCGCTCACCTGCGCGCTTAGCTCCTTAGCCATCCTCGCCGCCATCCTCTTCACGCTCCTCCTGCTGATCGCTGGTCCCTTGCAGCTGCGTGTCCCGACCAGCTACGCTGTGGTCGACTGCGCCACGCCGCCGACTTCCTCGGACGACAGCGCTGCTGCCTTCCGCGACAGCCTCCTGCCACTCCTGGCCGCGCTACCCGCAGCTGCCGCGCCGACGGGGTTCGCGACCCTTCAGTCCGGCGCCGGGGCGTTTGCCCGCGGCTTCTGCCTGGGCGGCTCTGCGCCGAGAGAGTGCCTCGCGTGCCTCGCCGCGGGCGCCAAGAACCTCACCGGCTGCGGCGCCAGCAGGCGCGCCGGTGTGTGGAGGGCCGAGGGCTGCTTCCTATCCTACGCCGACGACAATACCTCCTCTGCGTACGAGGAATCTTTCCTCCAGGTCGTCTACTACGGCGAGGAAGTCTTACCCCCCGACATCTCCTTCAGTGCGGACACTTCCGACCCCGACTGCTTCGAGCCGCGGAGGCTCGTCGCGCTCGCGGAGTCCCTGGCGCGGCCAACAGCTCGGGCGCGCGCGTCGTCACCGACGCGGCCGCACTCTCGAGCAACGCCACTGGGAATAAGAACAACAGGGTAAGCTTGCGGGCGCAGTGCGCGAGGGACCGCGCGGCGGCGGAGTGCGCCCGGTGCCTGGGGTACTTGGCGCGAGTGTTGGAGGCGTGCAGCTGGTGGCTTGACGGCGAGTATGTTTATGTGGCCGCCGACGTGGTCGGCTACAACTGCTTCCTACGGATCGAGGCTACAGTTCCTACAGTTCTGCGCCTGGCGAAATATATGAGTGAGCAGTCCTTCCTCTTCCCGATTCTTGGAAGTTCATATGGGAGGACATCTTCTGAAAGGAGACAGCAAAATTGGGAACGGACGCCATCATGAATGAATAACTTCACATTGCATCTGTGCGTATGATGATCGGCATGCAAAGGCAGAGCTGCCAGTGCCTTCAAGCATGTGTGCTATGCGTGCAAGTTCTACTAATTAACTGAGTCCTAATTAAGTGTGTTTCATCAATGGCTGCAGAGGATCCTGTCATGATAACCTTGTGCGTCGCCACACTGCTCGCACTGGTTTTTACCGCTCTCACCGCGGCAATCGCGTGCGTCGATGTGAGAAAGAACCGCCCAGTGGCGCCGGGAATGTAGCAGCAGCAGGAGGAGGCACGTTTCCGTCCCTCGGCTACGTTGTGCCTGACTGTCAATCAGCATGTCATTTGATTTTATAGTCCACTTTACAGTCTCTACATTTGAAACCCTTCCTTCGAAGATGTAGGAACAGGACTCAACGTGTCATTTGATGATCTAAACCCTTCCTTCGAAGATCAAGGAACAGTACTTGGAAATTCTAGGCAGATCCTCAGAGTTTGTTCAAGGCAGTGACAGTTTTAATTATGTAATCCCTCTACTAGTAGTTCAGTGCTCCCATGCTTCAATGCCTAAAAATTCAATTTTAGATGATTCAGAAACTTCAGAAAAAATGTGAATTTTCACAAGACATGTGCCTACAACACCTACAAATTTCAGATCCAAACTTAAATATGCATTGAGAAACAAAAAAGAGAAATCTTGATATGAATAGAAACAAAAAAAAAGAGAAATCTTGATATGAATAGTACGTACCATTTAGCTTTTATCTTATTGTGATACTATTCACGTTGAATTTATCTTTTTTGTTTCCTAATGTGTATTTTGAGTTCGGATCTGAATATTTTAGAGGTTATGGAAATCTGTCTTGTGAACATTAAAAAATATCAGAATTTTCTGAAACATTAAATTTACACATTAGGGCATGGGATCACCTAAATTTTGGGAGCACTGGATATTTTCCCATGCTAGGCGCTCATCTGGTAATGGTCATCAACTAGATGTAACACTGTAAGAAGCCAAAAAATGATCAAATAATCACGTGACAAACTAAAGATAACTTGCAAATGCTACTCCCTCCGTCCGGAAATACTTGTCAACAAAATGGATAAAAGGGGATGTATCTAGATGTATTTTAGTTCTAGATACATCTCCTTTTATCCATTTTGACGACAAGTATTTTCGGACGGACGGAGTAGATATCTAGGCAGCAGCACTATATACTTTAATCCATCTTTTATTTTCCTAGGATGTACTTAGCGGAGATTGTAGTTAATTTGTCTCTACTTGCAAACAGAACTGGACCGGTTTCAGTCATAATCAAGGTCAGTGTGGCAGCAACACACTGCTAGTAATGGCTGACATCCGGCAAAGTACAGCAAACAAGATAGAAAGCTCACACTTGCAACATCTTATGGACAGTGTAGTATGTTGCCAAAAAAACAATTTAAGTATAGTTAGAGTACAAGTATGTTTTAGTGCTATGTGCATCTGTTATCACGCAATAGGCACTGTACATTGCGTGTTTCCTATAATTCTAGCTTGCATACGTGTATTCTAATCATTTAGAAGGATTCATTACTTATCGGGTTATCAGGCTGCAAGAACAGATGTTCCATTGCTTTGTCGCTTAACTCTGAATGTTTAACTACACCACTCAGACTGCAAGAACGAATGCTACACAATTATTGTCTAAAATCATGATATATCTGAATTTTGAAGGTTAAACTTCCTTAACAAACAATGCATGCCAATCAGACCAGCAAGCAGTTCCATAGGCAACTATTTCTTTCAGAAAGCTCCAACTATTCCTGTTCCTAGCTCAAAAAATTTGAATTCAGGTATGCATGTACCGTTCTTGTTACTAGCACACAATTGAACAGGCAATCATGGCCCTGTTCATGATGTCCTAGACTTAGCAGTTGCTGAATTCTCTGTCATTGTCAGTGAGATCTACCTCCTTATACGTATGTAATGTTCGTGCGTACATATGTAATGGCATTCCTTATTGTTTGCTGATCACCACTTGTTATTAAAACAGTAACTCATTTATGTTCTAATTTAACCTTTGTACACTTATGAATTCTAGATTTTGTAACAAGTTCAGATGCAGATAGTGTTGATGCATGTACTGATTCTTGGCTGCATGCAATTTTAGATTAGGTAAGCTAGGAGCATCCTTCCAGACCCATCGCTGTTGCCACCACTCATCTCTCCACTGCCTTGTACCTCCCCAACCGAATGTCTTTCCAAAGCTGAATTGATCATCCATTTTGACATGAATGCACCAAATAACGATCCCATTTTCATGTACCATCAAAGTTCTTGAATGTACCGTAGTTTACTATTAATTTAGAGTATAGATATGATGTACTACCAATATTACCTTCGATGAACTACCAGTTATTACTAAGTGTGCCATGAACATGCTTACTAATTTCTGAATTAGTAATATTATCCTCTCAGTGATTTCTGTGATTTATTTTGTTTTGCATGGTGGTTGTCATGATTTATTTTATTTTCTGGTATATATTTTCCTGATTTATTTTATTTCTCAAGTATATATTATTTCAAGATTTTTTCAAAAATAATTTCAAAATGGCTCTTCTACAACTCCAAATCAACGCTGCAAGTTGTGGCTCTAGTCTGCGCTGGAGATCTACCATATTGGGTGGCCACGCATTCTGGTTCAACCCGAATGATGATTTGGTTTTGTGTTTGTTTTGCTGTGAAAAGCTTGTGGGTTGGATTGGTTTGGGTGCTGAGAATTTTCATGTGGCTAGGGCCGGACATGGGTGTTGATCTTTTTAGTTATGGATTAGTGTGGGTATGGGGCAGGTCTCAAACCATTCATAGGTTGACTTCCCAATTTACCTTTAACTTAACTTGCTGCGGGCACATTAAACATTTCAGGTTGCGTTGGTCTCCACCTGCATGCACATTTGAGATTCTAAAGGGTACATCCTTACAATTACTAAGCTCCCTACAAATAGAGGCATATGAGAGCTAAAAAGTTTTTTATTCGAAGTGGACCCATTTGTAAGTGTGTGGTCAGGTCATGGGTCCCGCATAACAGTGTCAGAACCGACATTCTATTAAGGGAAAATTTTGTTTTTACCACTCTAGATTTTGCCAATTTTCCTCATGCCACTCTAGATTTTGACATTTCACTTTTGCCACTCTTTGTTTTTGACAATTATCACAATTGCCATTTTGTGGCAAAAGCAAAATAATTTTATTTCATTTTTGACACACTTAGCTTTTGATAATTATCGCAATTACCACTTTGAATATTTTGCTTTTGCCACGAAAATGGCAATTGTGATAATTGTCGATTTAAGAGTGGCAAAAGTGAAATGTCAAAATCTAGAGTGGCATAAGGAAAATTGGCAAAATCTAGAGTGGCAAACTTTTTTTAATAAAACATTCAAGATTTTTTTTAGATGTCACAAATTTTAGAAAACATTCATGAATTTAAAGAATGTTCATAAATTTGAAATTCTTCATGAATATGACAAAAAAATTCATGAAATCTAAAAAACGTTCACGAGTTGTATAATTGTTCATGATATTTTTAAATGGTCACGAGTTTTAAGTAATTCTCACTGATTTCAAAAAAAGTTTGTACATTTTAAAAATGTTCATTAATATGAATCTTCATGGATATTTAAAACTGTTCATAATTTTGAAGAAAACATTTGTGAATTTTAAATATATTCAAGATTTTAAGTTATGTACTCAAATTTCAAAAAACTATTCATAAAATTAGAAAATATTCATGAATAAAAAATATATAAACACAAACAGGAAAATAAAATATCAAACTAGGAATGGGGGATTAGGAAAGCTAAAATGTTTTTATTCGAAGTGGGCCCATATGTAAGTGTGTGGTCAGGTCATGTGTCCCGCATAACAGTGTCGTAATCGACATTCCATTAAAACACTTTTTTTAGTAAAACCTTCAGGATTTTTTTTGTAAATATCACAAATTTTAGAAATCATTCATGAATTTAAACAATGTTCTTAAATTTATAAATTCTTCAGGAATACGAAAAAATATTCATGAATTCTAAAAAATGTGCGCGAGTTGTATAATTGTTCATGATTTTTAAATGGTCATGAGTTTTAAATAATTCTCACTGATTTTAAAAAATATTTGTAAATTTTTAAAATGCTCATGAATATAAATCGGCATTGATTATTAAAAAACGTTCATAATTTTGAAGAAAGCATTGCGAATTTTAAATATATTCAAAAATTTAAATAATATACTTAAATTTCAAAACATATTCATAAATTTGGCAATATTCATATATATAAATATATATTGTATATAGTATCTGTCGAAATCGAGAGTATGTACGTGTAGTATGTAGTATATAACAATGATTTGGTAGTATATATACTAATTTTTAGTTAGTATATACCATTTTTTAAGCATGCTCTTTTTTACGTACAAATATGTACGTATTTCATAAATATAACAAAAACTATGGGCCCATATGCAATTTTTTCATGTAACTTGCTTTGAAATATCTTAGATAAAGTATACGAATATATTTAAAATGATAAAGTAGTATATATACTACCACATGGTAGTATATGAGACATATGGGGTAACTATCACCGAATGGTAAGATGGGTTTTACTTATAAGCAGTGGTAATTACCACCAAATGTTTCCTATAAGCAGTGGTAGTTATCACCACTTGCGTTTTCTATGTTGTATGTAGTATCTGGCAAAACCGAGAGTATGTACGTGTAGTATGTAGTATATATCAATGATTAGGTAGTATATATACTATTTTTTAGGTAGTATGTATCATATTTTGAGTATGCTCATTTTTACGTATAAATATGTACGTATTTCACAATATAATAAAAACTATGGACTCATATGCAATTTTTTTATGTAATTTGCTTTAAAATATCTTAAATATAGTTTATGAACATATTTAAAATAATAAAATAGTATATATAGTATTATATCATAGTATATGAGATATGTGGGGTAACT